GTTTAAATAAGCTACAAGTTATAGCAATTAAATACCCAAAATAACATTAATAAAATAGGAAAATTTATTAAAGTTTATGTCGAAAGAAAATAGCATTTAAAATATTATTACATTTGTGTAAACAGTTTGTGAAGCCCCGGCAGACTGTTAGGCCCTACCTACATTGTGGATTTTTTAGCTATATCCAGCACTGTTCATATTAATTCAAAATATTACTATATGTAGGTTAGGTTTAAGTTAGTCTCCCCAAACAAAGTAGGTCACGTTTCATTTATACATTTTTTGGGCTGGTCTATTTTCCTGCGGGTTACGGGTGTCCGGCTCTGTTGTTTTCTTTCTGGGTTGTCTTGCATTTACGTCCCCCCCCCCCCCCCCCCCCCCCCCCCCCCCAAGAAACAGAATCCCTCTGACATAGGTTGCAGAGCTCTCTAGGACGGTTGTGTTAGACCCAGTTTGTTAATGTTTTTGGGGTGTTAAAAGCGCTAGAGTGCTGAAACATACAACACGTGATATCAACGGCATTACAGAACACCTCCGTAATCTTGTGCCAAGTCACGTGGCTCAAGGTCTACAGATCATAAGTGAGCTAGTGTGTATATAGGCGGTCCGTGGGGATACCAATGTTAGTTTACCAATATGTATTTTCGCTGCGCAAGATTATTATTTTTACACACTAGGCCCCTTAAAAAATACCACAACCGGTCCATGGACGTCATACAGAAAAACTCTTATCACAGTAAGGAGAGACGCCTAGGCGCGGCACACTAACACATTCAAGATTTTAAGTCTGACAGTTGTAAACCGTTGTATTTTTACTCTATATATATATGTGTATATACTGACAGGCTATAGTTCCGTCGCCCAGCTACTGTGTGAATATCGCGAATGAGGAATGCTTTTTGACTGTGCTCAGCATAGTTCGGTGTTGTGAACTGCAGATTCAGGAAGTTGCATGTTGCCACAAAACTGGTATTGCCTTGAATTGCTAGGGCAACTACTGATCTATTCTAACTGCTGCTTCAGTCAACGACAAATTGCATTTCTGGTGTCGTACTGTGTGTGCTGGCACTCTCGACGCTAACCTTATGCATTTGATGCATGCGTTCGCTACTGGTTGGTTGAGATTGCAGTCTATGCCATTTTTTCAGCAAGGGAAAGTGATGGGCATTCTATGTGGTCTTGGTTGGTACAGGAACGGAAAAACTATAGGTTAACTCTTTTGCTGTCAAGTTAGTACTATCATTACCTGATAACATTGATTCACTCCTTTAAGTCAATATTATACTTCAAAATCATGTAATGGCAAGAACAGCTTTTATTAATTCTTTACTATTGCTCCTTTAATCTTACTTGTTACTTGTTGTCCGTGGGGCTGTTTTAGCGCAGTCGATAGTAGACCCGCTTTTAAATCCAGCTGCAACTCACAACAGCCCACGGCCGGTGTTCGAAACCGGGCGGTTCCGGGAGTTCACCCAGCCTCTATGTAATGGGTAGCACAGTTAACACTCTGGGGTAAATGGAGGAGCGTCGCTGTAGCTACGGAGTTGCATGCGACAGCGACACAGGCGGATAGTTTCTTATCAGTTGTCTGTACTGATGACAAAGCACTTATGGTTTATAACTGTGTGCAATGACGCTAGTTCACATTTCCCTACTTTACCTTTTGTTTTCCGTTCTGACATTTTAGAACATCGGACCGACCCATTTGTTGTCCGTCTTCTAATGCAAAAGCCATCTCAGTGTCTTCATACTCGCATACAGTAGGTGCTGACTTGCATATCTTCTTTCTTAACCCAGCAACTGGTTTCTGCATGCTTGTATAATACCCATTTCTGACAGGGGGCTCATCGTCCTTGACTGCTTTGTCTGCCTCCTCTTACCTTACAAAAGTGTTTAACATCAGCGGAAATCGGCAGTAAGGAGCTCCATCCTTATCCGCACGCACCGCTAAGGCTGGTGTAGTCGTTGCGAGTAAACCCAGTTGATAACTTCTTCGGAGGTTGAAAGAGGGATCTGCGATTGACTCTGATGGTATGCTATTCAGACTAAGATTTTGTAATCTCAGGGTGTCAGAACTACGGGTGGCAGTCGGTTGTTGGAAAAAGGAAAGGGGTGAGTTAGAGAGGAAAGAAGGAAGAGTAGTCTAGAGGCTTATCTGTCAGCACCCACGATTGTGGGTTCAAATCCGTATCAAGGGTAATTTTCTTGTTTGAACCAGTGCAGTCTATAGTGGTGAGGGGATGTTATTTTTGTAAAAGCGGCTGACACGACGCTCACCGTATCACCCATTGAGTTTCTATTGGTGTGTGTGCGTGTGTGTGCGTGTGTGTGTGTGCGTGTGTGGAGATAGAGTAAAACTTCGTTAAAACAAACTCGCTTAAGATAAACACTCGTTTAAAGCGAATGCAATTGTGTTTCCTGCAGAGATACACATTCATTACTTCCGGGCTAGAAGAATTTTTAATTCGAACTCTTGATTCTTTAGTCCCTAAGAATTCGTGTTAACGAGGTTTTACGCTCTCTCTCTCTCTCTCTCTCTCTCTCTCTCTCTCTCTCTCTCTCTCTCTCTTTCTCTCTCTCTCTCTCTCTCTCTCTCTCTCTCTCCCTTATATATATAATATATATATATATATATATATATATATATATATATATATATATATATATAAATCAATGTTTGTGTGTTTGTTTCCCCCCTATAGACTCGGAAACTACTGAACCGATTTAGCTGAAATTTTCAGGATATGTTTGTTGTGATACCGGATTTTGAACCGTCGTGGTTTGAAATTCAACCTGTCACTGTTAGAGATAGGTGACCACAATTAATGCCAAAATATACGCAACTAATATTTATAACTTTAGTGATTTCTAATTAAAGCCACGTTAGTAATTGCGCATGCGCCGTATTTACCATTCGCCGGCGAGTTACGTGCAGCCAACGCCTTTTCTAATACTAATACATAGAGTAGGTCGTGGTACAGCAAACAAGACTATCTATATATTTTTTTTTTCAAACAACCTTCGATGGGGGGGGGGGGGGGGGGGGGGGTTGGGGGGGGGGGGGGGGGGGGGGGGGGGGGGGGGAATCGAGGACTATCTCGACGTCGGGGGGAGACAGTGACTGCGACATTAACTTCATTAACTGTGTTAGACACGTGCGATTTCTATTTCATTAACATATCTGGAGTATCTGTCTACGAGAAAACAATTGCCTGCGGTTTTGAATTGTGTTTTAATCGCGACACAGTGGTAGGGACACATATGTCTAATAGTTGTGTTCTCTTTTCGTTTTCCGATAAAGTGGCTGCTTGGTCGAATGGTTAGAACACTGGATTTAAGTGCGGTAGGTAGACCTGGGTTCGAATCCGCAGTGGTTAGTTTTTTTTTTTTTACCCCGGACTAAAATAATATCCTCATCTGCTCTGTCGTGGTGACAGCACTAGCCATGTTGCCTTAATATTTAAAAAAAAAAAAAAAAAACCAGTAAATGGGTAAACCATTTGATAATTAAATTTTACCATTTCGCATACTTATGATTGCATTGTTAAACTTTCCGATTGCATGGTTACGCTGAAATTTTATAGATTTTCATTTATTTTCATTTAGATTTAGTTATTTCATCTGTGTTGGAATTTTAAGCTGTGCTGTTTACAATGGCGTTCATTTCCTAATTATGGTGTTTTTTTCCTGTGTTCTTTTGCTTTTCAAGCGTTGTTTTTTTTTCCTCCCAACTACTTCAATGTGGGAAAGAGTTGTCGGTGAATTTGGGGGGAGGGGGGGGGGGCAAACTATTAACTGAGAGAGCTTTAAGTCACAGTAACTGCTTTACCCACTTAAAGTAGCAGCAGCAGTAATAGTTGTGGTTTGGCTGTTACACCATAGTGCTCTCATGTGAAGACCGCCGGTAAGGTTATGGCGTTCTTCTGTCGGCAAGTGAAATTATACATCCTAACCTGACCAGTCTGTGGCGACAGCACTAGCCATGCGGAACCAAATCTTCTGGCTCACGACTCTCTGTCTACTCCGATGGTAACACAGATAGCAGTGACATTATTTTAGTAGTTGTACTGGTACTTGAAGGATGATGTAAATATTTCACTAGCCCTATTCACTACCTTTTACAATTCCTGCTCCTTATTTTAGTCCAGATGGACAGGGATGTCAATGTCAGTTACAGCAACAACAAAATATCGCCAGTTAGTGATTTCCAAATCCTTCGAAGAGGGAGAGAGCAGTAGTCGGTGGAAGAGGGGAGGGGGGGGGGGGGGGGGTAATGACTTAAATTTAAGAGAACTTAAAGAGCTTTACACGTGATTTTCAAGTTCTCATTACCTAATTTGTTTATATTTCACTAACGCTACCTCCGCTTTTCTATTTTTTACTACTTACTTTGTTATTTACAAGTACAGTTGTAGCTTTACTTCCGTCTCCTATAAAAATACAAACAGCTTTAGCATGTGATAACCAAATAACCACTTTTGTAACCAGTTTTATTAGCTGTGGTTTAGCTGTTGCTCTGTACATCGCTAGCGTGAAGCGAAGACACATTTCTATGTTCTCTATTTTCCATGTAGTCAAATTACGCCACAGCAACGCGTGGCCGGGTACAGCTAGTATATATATATATATATATATATATATATATATATATATATATATAATCATCCTTAGTGTGTAGTTAGACGTCACATAAGGCTCGCATTCGTTTTTTCAACTCCGCTCTATTGCGTGAAACTTTCTCAATTTCTGACAGGGAGTTCTGCCCAGCATTTTTAGCTTTTCGTAATAGGCTTGTGCTGGCGCTTTTGTGTCTATTTGTGTGTGTGTGTGAGAGAGTTAAACTACACAAAAAATTGAAAACAAACGAGAAATATATTTCCTCAAGTCAAACATTTACACAGGCATCTAACTGTGTTAAAAAAAACAACCGAATTTCTGAATGTTTCTAGCTATGGAAACAAGGCTGTGACCCCATTCTCTGGCTCATGTGTTTGTGCCAGTTAATTAGCCAGTGACTGGACGTAGAAATTGTTGGCTCTTGGATTGACCCGGTCAGCGTTCAAAGAGAACACCATGTCATAGGGGTAAGGTCTGTTTGGCGAAGAGACATCGTCAAGTTGTGACATCTGCAAAGTAAAGATACAGATTAATGATGATGATGTAAACGAAGGCCCTACTGCTGCTGCTACTACTTCTGCTCTACTACTACTGTTGCTGCTGCTGCTTTTACTGCTACTTCTGCTTCTTCTACTACTACTACTACTGCTTCCAGTCACCTCATCGAAGTATTGGGGGGAGTGAGTGGAGATATGAAGATTTTCTATGTGTTCTAGTCTGATGTAGATGCTGTCATTGAATCTTTTTTTTTTTTTTTTTTGGGTGTCCTGCTCTGCGTTCATTACACGTCTTCAGCACAGCTTTCCATAACAGTTGCTACTAGGGTATTCTCATCAGATGGCCAAACCATTTCACTTATTGTGTTTTAACCAATCCTAGTTTCAATCCTAGGTTCTTCCCCCCCCCCCCCAACTGTCTGATTTTACAATTTTATCTGTTCTAGTTTTTCCTGCAGCTCTTCAAAGACATTCCTCTGTTGTTATGAATGGAGACCACATTAACATATGATAAATTACATGGGATTTGCATATGGAAAATCTAGAACATAAAAGAAATGAAGTCTGCGTGAAATACTAAGCGTTACATTTACAATGTTCGATGGAACATATCAGGAAGTAAACGCAAACATACAGCCTCTCTGGAACCAGGCTGGTAGTACAAGTCTAGACTCCATACATGTGTAATAAAACAAATAACAATTGCACATGATAGTACTTAATGAAGGGGTCAACTGCGACCGAATACAACACAAGCGGATTATAAGGAAAAAACGATAAAATATTTTACAAGTTAGTTGCGTAACGTTTACAGGACTATACTAGAGAAATTAATATTCAACAGCTTGCCATTGCCCTGTGTACGGTTGACACTTGATACCATTGTCAAAACTAATGCAAAGCGATCTGTTGCCAAATTGCCTGAACCTAGAATTAAACAGGTATTTTGGAATTTCTAAGCTCTTTTGCGCTACCTAAGCCACGGACGCCGACAACTAATATGCACGTGATTGTGTTGTGCACTGCCCCGTACAAAGGCCCATTTTTTTAAGGGGGGGGGGGTGGAGAATAGACCCACTGCCCCCCTAAAAAGCATGTCATAAAAAAACAAACGACTATTTAGGAGTGTTTCCTTCGAAGCTGAATTACATTTGCTTCTCAAAGGAACCAATAGTGTTCTCAAAAATAAGTCATATCTGCAAAACTATACACGCACAATACAAGTTCTGGAGCAAGCTAAAGACGAAAACGCTAAACTGTCCAATGGAAGTCTACAGCTGGCGAGTGCCAAGATAAAGAAGCAGATTTCCTGCAGTACTAGTAATCAGATGTTTACCTCCTCCCTGGTCAAGCTCCAGCCATTAGCGGCCAGCATGTTGTCGTCCAGTTGAGCAAGGGTCTTGGCTCCGATGATGACCGATGGGACTATGTCTTTTTGGAGCAGCCATCGGAGCGCCACTTGAGGGATACTGCGACCTGTGAACAGATAATTATATAACGAATACAGTTATTCTTCTCAGTGCTTTTTTCTTTTCTAGAAACTAAGGTGCCAGTACTCTCTACAAATTATCTTAAAAAGGGTGCCGGTACTCACCAAAATGTGTCCATTACAAAAGCAAAGAAAAAAAAAAGATTATGTTCAGAGAAAGCTGTCAGTACTTCGAACCACCAGGAAAATAAGCTCTGCTTCTTTCCATGTATAGGAATACCACCCCAGTATTGAACTGCAGGTTACGTGTAACCTTTTGGATGCTCTAATATAACTGGGTTGAACAGGGTTTCAATTTTTTAATTTTCTCTTTGATTCTCATATTTAATATGGTAATCTCTATTAATGAAGCTGTAGTGTTGCTGACGGAATCCATCTAGTTGCGTGAAAAACTTACATACAGCTTAACATTTTTTAAACTTTAAACAATAAACGTTAACGGTAGAGATGAGTAATGTTACTAATGTCACTAACTGTACCTCGTTTCTTGGCGATGGCTTCCACAGTGTCAACGATGTCGAATGTCTTGTCATCGAATGACTTCCAGTCTGGGGCAGCTTGTGACACCTTAGCTGTGCTGGCAGCAACGGATGCCAGCCTGCCTTCTGTTGGCTTCACTCCACGTTTCACCTTTCCGGTTAGTAAACCGCTACAATGGAAGCATGTACACAACAATAAGGTTTAGGTTGTAAAAATAATCCTTCTTAGATATTTAATTAACAAAATAGTCAAAAATCATCAAGCGGGGTAAGAATTATACTTTTAAAAACAGTAACACACAGTAACTGATTGCATCATTCATAGCTATAATTTTGACATTCAAAATCATTGTTATTTGATGAGTAAGTTTTTTTTTTCTTCACATTTTTCACAATAATACCTTTGTGATAAGTCAATCAATTGACAGTTCTTGTAAACCTGGCTCACCAATAGTTTTAAGGCTTACGGGCTTTCCCATCAGTATGGTGTGCAGCCCCCTCTGGCATTGATCTGCGACTGGCATCACCTGGTCATGCGTGCGATCAGACGTGGGTCTAATATAGAATGGTTACCACTCTTTGTATAGTGCATGGAACAGGTCACGACGACTGGCGGGAGCAACCTCTCGGCGACAATCACGTCTATACAGCTCACCCCACCCGTGCTCAGTCGGTCTCATGTCTCCAGACAGGGTTGACCAGGGAAGCGTATGAATGTTGTTGGCATTCCGGAACTGCCTGATCAACCGTGCGAAATAAGGTGTGGCATTGTCCAGTTGAAAAACAGACCCGTCTGCATACACAAATGGAAGGACATGGGTTAGAAGAATTTCACTGACGCATTGTTGTGCATTCAATCATTCTTCAATAAGTACCAGCTGAATCCTTCCATTGTTAGTTCATTGCCTACACTAGTGCACTCTCACTTTCGTGGGGCGATGTTTTGTCTGTACAGTTTTGGGCTAAACCTTACACCGTTTTTCAAGACACTGCAACAAAAAGAAAGATACGCCAGTAAAGCAGTAGGTCTAAACTGATTGTTAGCCGTCCAGGAATGAAGCTATTTGGCTAAAATGACCTTTTAGCGATGAAGGCGAGTACAAGTCCTCGGTGAGGTCGTCGTGTATAACGTTGAGCATAGTGCAGTCTACTCCCTACTCCGAACACTTTGACCAAATACATGACGTCCTGGGGGCGATGACTGCACGACTGAGGAAGATGTAAACCTATTTCTGAGGCGACCGAGTCGAATAAAGCAATCCTGTGCTGCTTATATCAATCTGGGTCTTCCGCTGCGATGCTAATCTTCGACTGAGCTAGCGGCTTGGAACTGGCACCATATGCGACTCATGGTACACTGATGCATATTTAGATGCCTGGCAACCTGACTATCGCTGGCAACCTGAGACGCTGTACATGTAAGTAAGTAAATGACGCTTTTCCACGCCTTTAGGCTATAGGGCATATAGGGCTTGACTTATATTTTATAGACCAATGGGTGATGTGGTCAGCATCACGCCGGCCGCCTCACTTTCCATGACTACGCTGTACATGTCCGTTTGAAAATGAAGTGAATGTTTTTGAGATATCATTATCATTTTTTAGGATTTATTTTGCGTATTCAGTGACAAGCATTCACTGCAAATTGTTCGCTTTAAATTGCGTGAATAATAAACTATGCTAAATAATACAGTCATCAACACAACCATCGACTGCCTTGTAACGATTGCAACAACGCATCTAGTCCAGGCTAATGTGCCAGATTGACACTGCAAACAACATTTGAGTGCTTTCTGCATGACCTTGTCAATTTCACCTAAAAAAACAAAAACTGTGCCAGGAGATAACTATGCACCAACACACGCACAAGTCACAAACAACTCCCCCCCCCCCCCCCTTTTTTTTCCCCTTCTTTACACACACACACACACACACACAAACGTTCACACACACAAACTAATCAAAAATAGTGAAAATACACAATCAGAAAAGGCAAAGTCAAATACTAACTATGTATAAAATTGGAGGAAGTCGAATGTGAATTAATGATACCAGGACTGCACCTGGTACCCATTCAAGGATTGGTTGACCTGGGAGTCAAGGTCATTTTTGAAAAAAAGTCTGGATTGGTCAGGACGCGAACCCACGACCTTTCGATGAGCAGGTCTAGCTGCCAACGCCACGGTGGCTCCCAATTCTTGATAAATGGAGACATAATTAATTACTTTCTGTTTTATACGAAGACGTAAAATTAAACGTTAATCACCAAACCTAACAGGGGCCAGTGACCAAGAGCGAGTCGAGTCGTTGAAACTACAAGTCGCCCCAGTCGAGTCATGAGTGGCTGAACAAAATCCGCAAGTCGTTAATTATGTGACGTAAGCTAGACTCAGCCCATATCACACGACCTGAGTTCCGACTTCTGCGAATAAGCCAGATCAGTTAAACGTAGGTGAACGCAAAACAAATTCTAGACGAACATTAAATTTTAAAAAAATGGACGAACAACCAGAACTTTTCGCCGAACTTTACAGCTGGTAAGCGCAAAGAAGAAATCATCGTCACCTGGGTTGCTAAATAAGGGTGCTAACACTCCTGAGAATCCCATCCTGCATCGCGAATCAAAAGGAAAAACCCCACATACCCTACCCAATCTCAAAAGACGTTATATTTGGACGTCTGTAACGACTACATCCCCTTCTGCTTCCTGATATCCCGCAAAGAAAAGGTTTCACTGTCGAAATCTTCTAATTATAAACAAATATGTTGCCACGAAACTGGGATATAAAATCAAAGATTATGATCCACACAATCCAACGTTACAGATGTAACGTCTCGTTCATGATAAGAGTGCAAATAGGCTTGCGTTGGTTTCGATTGTGGTATCAAGATTGGACCATTTAAAGAGCAATGGCAAATTACAGAGCGTTGAACTGTCTAGAAAAACCACAATAGCTAAAAAAACGTGATATGGTTGGCTCTGCTCAGTATGTACAGGATAAAAACTACCAATAACTGCCTTTGTTGTAGCTTTTGTATTGTAGGCAGGTAGTCTTAAAGCCTGAGGAGTTACAGCCGCATGGTTAGTGCTGTCGCCACGACTGTGCAGGCGAGAATTTCATCACCCCATCCCCCCGACCCGACAGAAAGAAATCTCCAGCCCTAAGGAGAATTCGAATCCGGGTCTCCCGCTTGAGTGTCTAGCGTTCTAACTGTTCTGCCAGCCGCTCCTCTCCTGTACAGGATACGCAACTAAATTGTTTTTAAATGATAAAAAAAAACATCGGATACATACCAACGCAAGGACACACATGCACGAACACACGTCAGTTACGACAAACTACGTGTTATCTCACTGGTGTGTCATGGGTAGCATCAGGATGAGACTCACCCTTTGAGTGGACTCCAAGGAAGAACCCCAATGCCGTAAGTCTTGCACACCTGGAAGACCTCTAGCTCAGAGTCCCTGCTCGCAAGGCTGTATTGTTGCTGCAAAACGGATATCACAAGCATGGTTGGTTTCTCGAACGTAGTACATGATGTGCGTCTTTAGCAGCAAATTCTTCGTTTGCTGCTGAAGATGGGGACGCAGCGCTTATGGGAGTAACTCGAGTGGTGTGATGTCGATTCTTAATTCAACATTTAACAACATTCTACATGATGTGCGTGTGTGTGTGTGTGTGTGTGTGTGTGTGTGTGTGTGTGTGTGTGTGTGTGTGTGGGGGCGCGCAAGCACCCGCGGCGGGGATTAGAATGACGAATCTGTTATGTCAGTATCACCTATTACCGAGTAGCATAAGGAGAAACATGTAAACATTATGGCCGTTTGAGTCAGGCAAAGGACTCTGTTCCACGCCTTCTGGGCTACGTCGCATATAATGCTAGACCACTTTAAAGACTAAAACAGGCACTCTGTGTGTGATGTGGTCAACTTCTCACCAGCCGCCTTTATTTCTCATGAGTTTACCTGGTACCCCTTTAAAGCTGGGTCGAACATAGAGTCAAGCTCACTTTTTGTTTCGAAACAAATTGGGCTCTGTTCGGTCGTTAAAATGTTGAGGACAATATAATGCAACTCACTAGAGAACTCACTGTGAAAAACCTGATAAAAGCTTAACTATAATTTATGTCTCTGAAAATTTCAGTTAAGTAATGGAACCTTTTCCGCACCTTGAGGGGTATAGGGTATACAAGGCCAGACCTATATTTTTTATCAACCAATTGGCACTGGCTGGGTGATGTAGTCAACATCACGCCGGTCGCATTTACTTCCAGGACTATACCCTGTACCCACTCAAGGCTGGGTAAACCAGGTTTATTTATATGGGTAAACCTGGGAGCCAAGGACATATCTGGGACAAAACATGCATGTCTGTCAGAAAGAAGAAGAAGAAGAAGAAGAAGAAGAAGAAGAAGAAGAAGAAGAAGAAGAAGAAGAAGAAGAAGAAGAAGAAGAAGAAGAAGAAGAAGAAGAAGAAGAAGAAGAAGAAGAAGAAGAAGAAGAAGAAGAAGAAGAAGAAGAAGAAGAAGAAGAAGAAAGAAGAAGAAGAAGAAGAAAAAGAAGAAGAAGAAGAAGAAGAAGAAAGAAGAAGAAGAAGAAGAAGAAGAAGAAGAAGAAGAAGAAGAAGAAGAAGAAGAAGAAGAAGAAGAAGAAGAAGAAGAAGAAGAAGAAGAAGAAGAAAAAAAAAAAGAAAAAGAAGAATAAGAAGGAGAAAAAGAAGAAGAAGAAGAAGAAGAAGAAGAAGAAGAAGAAGAAGAAGAAGAAGAAGAAGAAGAGAAGAAGAAGAAGAAGAAGAAGAAGAAGAAGAAGAAGAAGAAGAAGAAGAAGAAGAAGAAGAAGAAGAAGAAGAAGAAGAAGAAGAATATGAAGAAGAGGAGGAAGAGTGGAAAGGAAAATGAGGACGAGGAGAAAAAAACATTTGATAAGCAGTGCTAATTATTGATTTGTGATACATAACCAGTAGTAAAGTTTACAACCGAGGATATCAGCCCACCTGTAGACTAACTACAGAGTTGAGGCCGAATCGTTCTGAGGTGTCCACCATTTTCTGAAGCTGCCATCCTGTGACATTGCTCAGTCCAATATAACGGACCTTACCGGCTCGAACTAGGTCATCCAGTGTCCTAAGAGTCTCCTCAACTGTCGTACCATCGTCCCAGATGTGTATCTGTCAAATAGAATCTTGATGAGTTCAGTAAGGTTTTTATTTTATCATTGGCACATAGAGAATTGATGTTAATAGATTGATTTTATTGTTCATATAAACCAATCAGCATCCATTGGATAATACGGTCAACATGATGCCGGTCGCCTTTACTTCCAAGGATTTTACCTGGTACCTATTTTGGGCTGAGCTGACATGGGAACCAAAGTAAATTATGGAAGAGATACAATTCTTCCCGATGCAGATTTGACTCCAAAACCTTCAAAAATTCAGTTTTAGCAATATGTAACTTTGGCGTCCTGAATCTTGATTTCTAAATATACATTAATAGTTCATTTATGCACTCAGTCGCCTTTTTGTCACCGTGTCCCTCAGTAGAAGCAAACAATAGTAACACTGTACCTTACCAGGCATATCGTAAGAGGCCACCAAGGGTAATGTGGAGCGTACCTCATCCTGTAAAAAACAATAATCTCAAAAACCAGTCACAAATGGAAAAGACAAAAAGAGAAACAGGAATTACCCAGTCAACAAAGATTGGTAAAAAGCGGAAGGGCGGAGGCCGATATGGGGGGAGGGGGTGGGGGCTTACTAATAGTAGAATGCTTGTACGATGTGGAGAAAGTCGGAAGAGTTCTGATCGTCGCTGTTCCTCCTTTCAACGAAGAAAATATCCTGCGATGTTAGAACTTTGTACCATGTAGAAAGAACAGTAAACATTTTAAGTGAAATGAAACATTATAGGATTAATGTTTTAGGATTATGTGAGACTAGAGGGGCAGGAACACATATTCTAAATTCAGCAGACACTATTTTGTTCTCAGGACATACAGAGGGACATTCTCCCACCAGTGAAAGAGTGGCCCTGATGCTATCGACAGAAGCAGAGAGGGTGATAATTCAATGCGAAGCTGTGAGTCCTAGAATAATAAAGACATCATTTAGAACAACGAAACCGAAGGTTGCTGTGTCGGTGACACAGTGTTCTGCACCAGTAATACATAATAAGGATGCATCAGCTAAGAGGGCAATTGTACATGTCACATCCAAATATTTTAGATGATGAAAATAAATTTACTGGGTAGCACAGTGGCCAGACGCCAGCTTGTCTAGCTAAGGGCCTTGTATTTGGAAGAAAGCATGTCTTTTTTTTCCCCTTCACAAATGACTTTGACTCCCTTGTTTACCAAGCCACTATGTGATTTATCACTCAAGTGGTCCATTTTAAAAAGATTGGCACTATATACCCACAGTGTTACTGACGTGAAATTGGCCCTGAACCTCCCAGTCCACTTCTTCTGCTTATAGGCTATGCGTTGGCAGTCATATCTATCCATAAGCTTCTGTCGCGTATACTATCAATCGATTTCAGTACAGATAATCTTTCGTACCTTGTGGCGCTGGTAGTCGTGTGTATCCGCATGCTTCTATCGGGTATACTTTCAATCAGTTCTGACACAGATGACCGTCCACCCCATAACGTTTTCTGGTTGTCATTTTAGGCTCACTTGAATTGGAGCCAATGTCATCTTATAAAAAATATGTTCAGATGAGGATTCTATCCTACGACCTTTAATTGAGATACAAGACCTCGATTCTGATGTATATCTGAGTAGCTTTAATGGGGTTGTATGGCATTTAATTATCATTCTTTTCTTGACCTGTTCTGAGTTTCAGCACCAAGTTTTGAAGAGGCTTTGGGCGCAAGCCTTAGTACGTGCTATGTAGATCGATCCTGGAATTTACGGCCTGGGATATCCCGTCTGTCCATCATTTGCATGGTCGACCTCTTGTTCTGTTTCCATAGTTTGAAAGGAGTAGGGCTCTCTGTGTGCACTATCCGATGGTAGTTTTGACATATACCGAAACCACTGGATCTGTTGTCGCTTCAGACAGTTCTTTGATGGTTACCTTATCCTGCGATCTCGTAGGTTTTTCAACATCCTCGGATGTTGCTGTGGCAAGGTGGCAAAACTTTCACCTCGAGTCCTGAAGATCGCGAATTCGTTTCATGGATGCGTCCCTCAGGTAGCAAGTGCAATTTTTTTCTATTGCTGGGCATCATCACTGGAGATATGAAGCTCATGCTTTGTGCGATTTCCTTGTCAGGTCGCTAATCGTTCTAAGGATAGCGACTGGGTCACATATTATAAAACTTGGTAGTTAAGTCAGTTAACTTGTATACCGTCGAGTGAATGCGAATCTATATAAATGAAACATGACTGGGCATTAAAATAGAGCGAATTAATTGGCATTATGAAATGAAAACGGCAAGTTGTATCATCGTTACCTGGTAAAGATCGACAAAGTCTGTGTGAAGTCGCTTTAAACTGTTGTCGATGCTGGCGGTGATGTGTCGACGACTCAGTCCCACGTTGTTGACATTCTGCTCTGTGCCCATGGTCTGTCCACATTTGGTGGCGATAACAAACTTGTCCCTGGCTTGTCTGAGAGTGAGAACCACAGGTATTTGATTTATTTAATAACAAGAAGTGGTATCAATGCCAGACTTGAACAATGACAATAAGAGAAAAGTAAAATTACAACTTTAACGAGATTTCTGCCAAGGTATCTCAATATAACAAGAGGAAATAAGATCAGAAACAACATCCGAATAAAATAAGGGTAGCGGCTGCTATAGATGTTTGACCATATAACGAGGCTGCCAACAAACACTATACCACAGCAGCGAATGATGTATAGACCAGGCGGGAAGCGAAGCAGAGGCCAACCATGCCGACGATGGACGAAGGGAATATCAGAGTCCCTGGCAATCCCGCTTACAAACGTGCACTTTCTGGTAAACTATACTTCATCTCGACACCGCAAGGATTAGGATGAAGAATTGAGTAACAAAAAGAAAGATCGGCAAAACTGTGTAGGTTGGCTTGGCTTTTGTTGCTTTGTAGCGGGGGTTGTTCTCGTCACATTCAGGCAACCACCATCCCCGAAGAGGGAGCTTTACCATATAATTGGGATTATGTTTATGTGCGCCATAAAAAATGTCTTAGCATTGCTGGCTACCGAGTAGCCCTAAAACGGACTCATGCAGTGTTGATGCGATCTCTAGAGAAGGGTCCACATACTATCCTGACCCGAGACGAAGTCATCTACCGGCGAGCCAATGGACGACCCGGTCATCGATGACAGCTGGCAGGTTATGTCATTGTGATCTCTCTCTGTGGCTGTCTTCTTAGACAGTGTATTCTGACTGGATGTTTTCCAACCATGGTTAACACCGCACTATTCATCAGACAAATATACTTTGTGATTAGGGTACTCTTCTTTAGGGACAGCTGTTCCCAGCCATTTACTCGGCTTACTTTCTTTAGCTTGGACTTGATGCTCGCTGCAGCACAGTAGACCGTCTTGTGTTGGGTTTGATAGGCAACAACAACAACAACAACAAATGATGATGGTGGTTCTACAACTTCATGTAAAGTATAAGTAACTATGTTTTTTTTTAAATGTTTCATGACAAAAAGAGGTTTTATACAGTTGAGACCATCTACCCTACGGTTCAACTCTAAACCTGGAAGACTGTGATGTCTCTCTTTGCTGTATCCCCTTTGACCTGTCCCGCTTTAGTAGACCCTGGTGGTAGTTGCGGTACGGCCGGCTTAGCTTTCATGGTCATTGTGACACTCGAGCTCCTCCAGCTCGACAAGATAGAGACACGTTCTTTTAGATGACAATGATGATAGTGGCTATGAGGATAATGAGGCCAAAGACATGGAGCACTTGACTATTATAGTTTATTTATGTTATTTATGTTTTCACCTACAGTCTTGTTGCGTGGCGTGGAGGTGTGTCGGCATACAAACTGATACATGCTGCAGGAGATCGCAGATTATGGAGAGGCATGATAACCTATGCCAGTCGGCTAGGCATCTGATTATGATGATGATGTTTTCACCTATACAACATCCTCAGGTTTAAACAAATCACCTTTCTTTTAATATCCAGAAACCATGAGTTGTTAACCCTTTGGCTTGGTACTATAGGTATCGCAACCCTTCGGCCTTGATTCCATGATAGATACCGTAAATCTGGGAGAAATGTGGTTTTTCTGCCTACCCCTGGGAGTGAACCCGGACCACAAGGAGTTCGTCACCCAGTCACCGCGCAGTCAGGTTTAGCAAGCTGTGCAGCGAGCCCGGCAAACAAATCATCAAGCAGTGTTATTTGTTTTCAATTACACACTTCCCTCCACTTTGAACAAGTATTAAGCCACATTGTTGAAATACTTACGTCTCTAACCATTTGCCAAGAATGGCCTCTGATTTGCCTAGAGCGTACATGTCGGCGGTGTCCAGAAAGTTGCCTCCCCACTCCACGTACCGGTTGATGATCTGGTGTGAGGCTTCTTCGTTGGTTTGCCCTGGCCATCCCCACTGCAAGTTCAACGATATGTTTATCGACGCCATAAACAAGCCTTACATTTTCTTTATTTAACTCATAAAAAGATGTTATCTTTCTTTATAAATAAGCCAGTAAAACGGATATGCACGCTAATCTCAGACATTGTCACAAAGCCAAAGTCCAAAAGGAAGAACAATCATTACTTTCAGCTTCAGGAGACAGCTAGTGAACAAAGAAGAAGAGGAAGAAAAAGCCTGGGTTTTGGACAACTGTTGATGATTCACGTTGTATAGAAGTGTGTATTTTGATTAACGGTCAGCAAAAAAGAATTTACAGATGATGGTGCAGTGTGCTACTGACACACATGCAGTCTTCACTAGTGGTAAAGAGCTGGAGATTGTTTGCAGACCATTTTGCACATCTGGAAATCACCGTCAATAACTCACTTTAGCTGGATTCAGACATTAATACCGGGATATGTAAGGCAGCAACAACAATAAACGAGAAAGAAGAGAAATCGCATGCTAAAACATGAATCCTCTCTATCAAGCTTGTATCCTTGGCACTGTTCTTTAAAGAGAAGTCGTCGACCTAGTCATAGAGGGTAAAACGGTTACTTAGCTTTCGTCTGTGATGCCTAAGAAGGAAACCTGGCATTACTTGACAAGACAGACAAGATTGCAAACACTGGGGTTTTGCAAGAGCAGGTAGCACAAACGTTTTCTCAATGCCCAGTCTTCGAAGGCTCATGTGGCTAAGACATACTTGGAGGACGGGGATCGTAGCGTCCCAAAGGACATTCTCTAAGGTGAATGACAGATGCGCAGAAGACATGGAGTTCAGCCATTACTACAATATAAAGATGTGTGCAATCAGTGATAAATTATACAGGTGAGAATCGCATTTCATGGTCAGTGTTACAGGTGATGTTAAAACCAGGAAGAGAATGAGGATAAAGGAGAAAACGATCGCAGACATGTTAAACCGAAAGTTTAATACAATCTCAGGAGCGGTCCTGAAGCCTGGAAGAATGTTCACCATGGAAGGCAATCTAGCTATTCGTTCATGCAATCGCTATGGGATATGAGTCTCCTGCCTCATTAAAACACAATATAACACTTTATATGTGACGATTGCTGGTCTATCAATAACACCTTGCACCACAATTTCTGTCTTCTATTTTTTTCGTTCATTAGCGCAAAATCACAACAGGCGTTAGAATGTAGATGGTAAACAGCGCAGTTCTTCTCCTGGATGTGTTGTAGTTGCATGCTCATCTGTTAAAAAAAACACACACTTTTATGAGTTCATGAGAAAATGGACAGAACGCCTATTGGATTGTCCCGAGTGTAGAGTTCTCTCTATATTTGTCAGGTAATCATGTACACACAGTTCTAATTTTACAACAAAAGGGTCGCCCCATAGTTTTCTCCGTTCCTGTGCCAATGAAAACCACACATAAATCGCATCATTATCCTTTGCGAACACAGTGACACAGGCTGCAGTCTCAGCAAAGCCGAAATCATACATACAATTTCATTCAATGCATAGGGCAGTGGTTAGAAGCGCCAGTACGTAGTTTTGGATGCTCATTCATTCAGTCTACATTGGATAACGCTCAACACTCAGGGGACGGATGAGACGGATATCCAATCAGACTGTTACTGGTACTATTGGAATTGGATCTCTTCACTTGCAGCTGAAGATGGGGAAAAGCACTTATGGGAGTGTTCCGAATGCTGTGATGTCGAATCCTAATTCAACATACAATCGTTCAATAAATCCTTCATTCACTTTACAGTTTAAAAAAAGACACTTTACAGTGCATTGCAGATATAGACAATCTATTTTAAACGAACGAAAGAAGATGAAAAACTGTACAAAGCGTTTGTGCAGTAGAGATCCCTTTGTTTCTAGAGGATAAATAAGAGGATTTGACTTTGGATTTGACTCAGTTTATGTTAGAAAGTATGCTGCTACTCACAGTCACATCCCCAAACGTCGCGCATCCGAGACTGATGTTGGCCACCTTGATTCCGGAGCGACCCAAGAAGTTGTAGGTTACCTTGTTTTCATCAGGGATTGGCGTGGTCATTGTTGATGACTGCTTTCAGAAAGAAAGAAAAAAAACGTATTGTGTCATTAAGATATATGGTTCTCGTGAATGACAATAACATAGCTGACAACGATGTACTCAACCGTTTCTCAAATGCAAAAAAGAAAATCCATTATATTGGAAACATCATGATGACAAGAGAGCATAAAATTACCAGACGGGTACTCGTATGGGAAACAAAAGGATTGAATGTTGAATGTTGAAATAAAAATCGACATCACAGCACTCTGGAAACTCCAATAAGCGCTCCGTCCCCATCTTGAGCAGCAAGAGAACAGTTAAAATTCCGATGGAACCAGTAACAGTCTGATTGTATATCCGTCTCGCCCCTCCCCTAAGTGTCGAATGTCGGCCAGATCCCCTTGTAACTCCTCGCAGTGCCATTCTCCTCAGACCGTAATGATCTATCTGTTCTTCGGCATTGCTTTCTCACTCTCAAAGGGCCCTCAAAACATCCAGCTTTTCATATATCAGTTCACCACCAAGTGGTGTAGAACCGTCCAGTCCATCCGCCTCTTCATTTCCCAAAACACCGGCGTGCCCTGGAGAAAATATCCAAAGGATGATAACAACCCGGGACCTCTGAAGTGATGCTTGCCACTCTGCCAGGAGCATACCTGTTGTGACGTGACGCGTGGATTAAATGTTTTATAATGTTGAGTAAGGATGTTCCTCTCAACACATTCCCTCCACCAGATTAACCGAACTAAAATCTGAGCTATGTTGCTCTCAGACAAAGTCCTGGATATCCAAGAAAACAGCCATATTGGCTCGTTAAGTACATTAACATTAGCTGAACTTGGTACCCACAAGAGAAGGAAAGGAATTTTAGATGTCTATCATTATACTAAATGAATTATTAGACAGGGTTAATGATTCCTCCGTCATCTACCTTCTCCCGGTGGTATTATTAATAATTAAAGAATTATTATATTATTTGAGCCCCACCAAATGTTATTCTATCTATCAGTTTATTTAAACAGGTAAGACTGAATACACTTGGAATTTAACAAACGATGTAGTATAAAACTTGACATACAGCTTTATTTACTAACAATGATATTCCCAGTTTGTTGTGTTTACACAAACAGTGACTGGATAATGATAGTGATAATGATAGTGATCAGCTTCAGCGAGAAAACAGCTCCGGGGTTTAGAGTGGTAGAATGATATCGATATGTTAAGTCAAAATAGGTTAACTTAGCTTATAAGCCTCTGACAGCCGTGAGGAACTGTCAAGCTTGTCCAACTCCTCCTTGCCTGTTTTCTGCCTGTTTCAGCTTATTCTCCACTTCATCCCCACCTCGTTCTCCACATCGTTCTCCACCTCGTTCTCCAGCTAGCCGAGTCTAACACAATGTAGTCTCTTTCATGGACTGATCGTCACATGGGAGCTGTAATCATGGAAACGAAACACATACGTGTAGTATCTTGACTTACACTAAGAATACATGGATCAATTATTGTAACATATAATAATAAAATATATCCCATCACTCCTCCTCATATTCCACATCCTCTCCAGTCTAGTCTGAAGGTCTTTTGTCCTACATGGGCGTCACATATCCTGCCTTCCTCTCTCATGCTATGTCATGATAGTTGACTTTCTAAGTCTGTTGTCCGTCATCATTCAGACTTCCAACTGGCTGACATTGATATTACATGACCACGTGGAGCAGGTTATGTGCTGAAAACTCAAACAATTTATATGTGCACGCTGTCCTGAATATTATCTTTCAGTGACCGTGAATACTGTACACCCATCATTCTTCCCCTGGGGTTATAAATCCCCTGTTTAGGTGAACACATTAAGTGGGCACACAAACGTAGCAGCATCCCTGCACATATTTTGGCATCATTTCGCTCAGTCCCAACTCATATTTTGGCTGATCATGGAAACAATATAATTACATTTCATTATAGCAAATGTCATTGTTCACATCTTATTTTATACACATGAAAACATACACTGAAAAACATGTGACACAAACATACAAGAAATAGGAATAGTTTAGCAGTTCCCTAACTGAGATACTGAATACTCACAAAGAACTATTTCAAGCAGAATGTGCAGACAAATTAGGAAAAGGTAGTATAGACTAAGCTTAACTCCCTAACCTATGTATACAAGATTAAAATTAATATTTTCTCTTACCTGGGAACTTTCCATCAATCGCCAAAACAGAATGCGACCGTAAAATTACCTTCACATCGATCTGTGTTTGTTTGCCGGCAGGCTGCGATTAATGACGGGAATTCCACAGGCTCGAAGTATAAGTATCAATCTATTGTCCAAATTAAACTCCTCCCTTTACTTAGTTCTACCCAACCCTCAAGACGATGACTTAAGCCTCCGGAGTAGCTATCAGATCAAGTTAGCTAACAAGTGGCCTGTCAGTCAATTCTGGACTGACATCCCTAGAGCAAACATTCTTAAGTGACCCAATCTAGTTTACAACGAATCTAACTAGCCGGTGTGAAAACGGTCCGTGAAGCCATTGTGTTTCCCACTTGACCTAGATCAAACATTCCTAATTGCCAAACACCTGTTCTCTCCAGAATTACACTGACGTGTTAAACTTTAAACTTCTCGTCGCCTCTATGTCTAGAGTCCGCTCGATTCGTGTTAGGTAATCTTTATGACCTACGGTCCAGCTCAGGTGTGATGCTAAGTTCCCCGTTCGCTGGCCTCTACAGTGTGGTCAGGAGATAACATTTATGACATGGGCACGTGAAAGGAAATTCTCTAGCCCAGGTGTAATTGCGTAACATTACCAAAGACTCAGTCGCTTTGTCTGGACTAAGGACTGGAAACGTTTAAATCAATACGGTTTAAAGTAACATTTGGTTTAAGGGCATAGTCTCTTGTCTCTCAATAACCAGAAGAACTTATTACAAGTACTAACTTCTGGAACCACTGAGATCGTCTCGTGACACCTGTCTCCACCTTTCTCAGCATGCTCTGTGAGTCAGTTACAATGACGACATGTGTGTACAGCTAATTCCCAAGCCAGCGGAAGGCAGCAGTGACTGCCTCCACCTCTATTCTCAAACTAGACCTTGCGATATCATATGCCAGGCTAGGAATCCCCATGCACTTCGTCTACCTCTCACCACAGAGCCATCTGTATATACAATCACATCACTTGGGCGGGAATTGTCATGAATCATTTGTTGAAACTTTTGATTCGTCAGCACCAGCTGACCAGTCCCTGCACTCACGTCCGAAAGTGATTAGAACCCTACACAAATCACAAAAGGGATAGGGCACTAGGATGTACCCCCAAAAAAAACGTAGGTAGTTGTACCCCACCAGGACATCCCACAAGCGATAAACACCCGGTAACACAAAGTGCCATCATGCAGATGAGGATAACCAGTGGAGAGGTCCCAGAAACCCCTTTCAGCCGTTTGGCCATTTCTATGACGGCCATATCTATATCCCGGCTATATTCAGAGCACCCGGAAAAAGCCTAAGACAAGCGTTAGAAAACCTAAGACAAGCGTTAGAAAACCTAAGACAAGCGTTAGAAAACCTAAGACAAGCGTTAGAAAACCTAAGACAAGCGTTAGAAAACCTAAGACAAGCGTTAGAAAACCTGAGACAAGCGTTAGAAAACCTAAGACAAGCGTTAGAAAACCGAAGACAAGCGTTAGAAAACCTAAGACAAGCGTTAGAAAACCTAAGACAAGCGTTAGAAAACCTAAGACAAGCGTTAGAAAACCTAAGACAAGCGTTAGAAAACCTAAGACAAGCGTTAGAAAACCTGAGACAAGCGTTAGAAAACCTAAGACAAGCGTTAGAAAACCTAAGACAAGCGTTAGAAAACCTAAGACAAGCGTTAGAAAACCTAAGACAAGCGTTAGAAAACCTAAGACAAGCGTTAGAAAACCTAAGACAAGCGTTAGAAAACCTAAGACAAGCGTTAGAAAACCTAAGACAAGCGTTAGAAAACCTAAGACAAGCGTTAGAAAACCTAAGACAAGCGTTAGAAAACCTAAGACAAGCGTTGATGAGAGAGTCGAATGTCCTGGACTGGAACTTCTTCTTCTTCAGCATTCCGAGCTCTTGAGGTTCATTGCTGCAGATATCACCCGCCCTCATTCATCTCTCTGGTTGGCCTTCTTCAGCATTCCAAGCCCTTGAGATTCATTGCTGCAGATATCACCCGCCCCCATTCATCTCTCTGGTTAGCCTTCTTTAGCATTCCGAGCTCTTGAGGTTCATTGCTGCAGATATCACCCGCCCCCATTCATCTCTCTGGTTGGCCTTCTTTAGCATTCCAAGCCCTTGAGGTTCATTGCTGCAAATATCAGCCGCCTCTAATCATCTCTCTGGTTGGCTTTCTCTTTCCAGTTGGCAATACAAAGTGCTTGCAGTTCCCCCTGGGTATTATCTTCCTATCGTCTTCTTTGTCTGCATCGTGGTCTACGATCATTCATCTCCCTTGTGAATACAGTTTTTACCTCGCTGGGATCTGACATTCTATCAGTATGCCCCAGCCATTTCAACCTCTTAGCTGTCAGATGCCAGTGATCAGTGGAGATGTAAACAGATGATGAATGTCGCTGTTGCTTCTCACGATGGACTGAATGGCATCCATTATATTGAAACTATCACATTGAAAAGAAAGGAATGAATGATAATGACGAAGTATAAAGAACTTATCGGTGTCGAGAACATGATTAAAACTGGCAACGCTGATGGGAAAATAGCTATGGGAAGTCAAAGAGATAAAAACTTGGATGACATTAGTATATATAAGGCGCAGGACAAAACCGCTGACCTGATCCGTGATTTTGGTCATCGTCCTTTTATATGGCACACATGACTTTAGCCACAATTATAACCTTATGCTGCCCCTTCGGGAATGCTGGTTGAATGTGACGATTGTTTTTTTTTCTTTCTAGAGTAAGCCAGATATCAATGTAAATCCATATCCCTGTGTGGGTTCTAGGCTTTTTTTTTGGGGGGGGGG